GAGCTGGGGCTGGAGTGGGAGCCGGAGTCGGGGCTGAAGCCGGGCTGGGCGCAGGAGTCGGAGTTGGGGCAGGGATTGGAGACTGAAGCGGCCGGGGCTGCGCGGCTGGGGCCGGGGTCGGGGCCTGGGAAGGTTCCGCCATGGCCTCCCCCGCAGCGGAGCGCGGCGCCGCGCTCCCAGCCCTAGGGCCGCATGGGCAACCGGCGCTCAGTGCGCAGGTGTCACGGCGCCGGTGCATGATGGGAATTGTAGTTTTCTACAGTTGCGCTCCTCTGCTTCCAGCTTCCAGACTTTTCTGTCCTGTCTCTTGGTCATAGGCAGCCAACAGAGGCCGGAATGATCACCCAAAATTGACGACTCCTCACTTCCAATCTCTCTTGAAAGCGTCCTGGAGAGTCGTAATTGCTATACTTTTGGGTTCAAGAAGGAGAATACTAGTAAACAGATGCCTCTTTGGGGAATCGTGGGCTCTTCCTTTTGCATGCCCACCGGTGGATGCGCAGGCCTGGATTTGGGGTCCGCTACCTGGCACACTGCCTCCCCGTCCCCCAGCCTATTCCTGCAAAGGATCTGACCCTCCAGGCTCCCTGACTGCAGCTATATTAGAGATTAAGTGTAGCAACAGTTCTACTTCTCAAACTATGGCAGTTGGATGGTGTGACACTCGGCTGTATGCTCTCCTGTACGTTATAGTTCAACAAAAGTAGTTTATTACGAGCACACTGAGCACTAGAGGCATATCCATGGTCACGACATCACGAAAGGGGCTACTGAGATGGGGGCTGAGGAAGGGGAGGGCCGAGACCTCTCCCGGTGTTTGGGAAATAGCACCACCCATTGTGTCTGTCCCAGAATCCAGCCCGGAGCCTGCCACAAAGGAGACCCCTGTGAAGAAGCCAGCAGGATGGGTCCACCTCCCAGTACCGGTGGGATTGTGCAAGACCAAGGAAAGGCAGGGTGCCCTGGAAATGGATGACCTGGGAACGAGCTTTTTGGTCTCGGGTCTGATTCTTAGAGAGCAAGATCGTGTCCTTCCAGCTCAGCGGCTCAATCTGATCTCGGCTCTGCGTGGGTAACGCTGTGGGGTGGGGCTTCCGCATGTCTGGCCTCGTTCAGTCGATCCAGTTCTGTCAGCCTCAGCTGCCTTGGGCTCTCTGACCAAGGTGGGGAAGGGCCTGGAAAGACTCAGGGTCCGGAAAAAAGCTGGAGCCAGCGACCCTGAACTGTGCCGCCCTTTGCAGAAGTGAAAGGAACCTCGCGGCGCAGGCGCGTCCGCGTGCGAGTCCTCGCTCCAGGACGGCCACGCGCCCGGCCGGTGCACCGAGGTTTGCGCTCCGGGCCTCGCGCCCTTGAACAGCAGTTGCTCACTCGGATGCAGCGGGTCGGTAGCAGTTTCTCCGAGAGCGGGGTGTCCTCCCGGCGTCCCAGCGTGGCCCTCGCTGAACAGAACCAGGTGGCCACACTGCCAGTGCGACTGCTCAGGGACCAGCCGGCAGCTGTGCTGGATGACAGCCATGTGGAAAACGGCTTCCAAGTGAAGATGGATGCCCATGGCTTCACCCCGGAGGAGCTGGTGGTACGGGTGGACGGCCAACGCCTGGTGGTGACCGGTCAGCGGCGACTGGAGGGCTGCGACCCGGAGAGGGGCAGATACCACATGTCACAGAAGGTGCACCGGCAAATGCGACTGCCACCCGACCTGGATCCCACCGCCATGACCTGCTGCCTGACCCCCTCTGGCCAGCTGTGGGTCCGAAGCCAGTGTGGGGTGGCACTGCCTCCCCCTGAAGCCCAAACATGCCTGTCCCCAAGATTCAGGAGCCACAGCTCCAAGGCTTCCAACCTAGCCTGACCCAGTAAACAACCCCGTGGTGTGCAGCAGCACAGTGTCCCGTCGTCTTTTCTGGGGTGGGGTGAGAGGCAGAGGTATAGCAGGGGGACTAGTGTCACGGCCGAGGCAGGCAAGAAAGGCACCTCAAGGTGTGGGCCTCAAAAATCAGGCCTGTGGGGAAAATGGAGGGGACAGAGGGCCTCTGGAGAGCAACAGCTCCAGCAGGGAGCAGCAGAGGGCCAGGAGTACCCAGAGCTCTGGGCAGGCCTCCAGACCAGTAGAGGGCCCCAAGAGCCCAGGGTGGGATAGCGTGGCCTGGTGTGGGGATGTTGAGGTTGGGGACCACGAGGGAAGCCAGAGGCAGCAGCCTCGCCTTCACCACCCCGTCAGAGGTGATCAGGTTTCTCCCACTTCAGGCAAGAGGGCAAGGGTCTAATGCTTCGCAGGCCTGGTACAGACCGACCGAAAACCCCAGAGACCAAATATCTTCAAATACAGACTTGCACATCATCCCGGTGTACTCCAGTAGGGGGCTGGGTGGAGGGGGCAGGAGAAGCGAGGCAGGGCCCTCAGACTTAAACTCAGTCTTGCCCCCCTCCACCAGGAGAGCTGCAAACAGTAAGGGCCTCTTTCTCTCGGTTACCATGACCACCAGCATCCTCTCACATTAGTGGGGAAGCTTCTATTTAACAAGAGGCAGTGGTTCATTGTAAATTAACTTCCAGTAAACTAGAGAGCACACGGTCTGATAAACCCTGCCAGAGAAAGACAAGGAAGACAAGTGTGAGGTCGATCGATCGGCTGACTATATTGACAAGATACTGATTGGTTACATGTTGAAGAAAACATACAATACAAAATACAGAAAAAGTTGGTTCCATCCCCTCCCAGTCGCCCTCGTTACCCACCCACCCCCAAATACTCATCATTGTGATTTGGTCAGAACAAGTATTAATTTATAGCAGTTATATATTCATATACCCCCCCCTTACCCACCCACCCCCAAATACTCATCATCGTGATTTGGTCAGAACAGGGCTCAGAGCCAGAGGTCAGGGTGACTGAGGGTGGAGGGGTGTGGGCAACGGGTTCGTGGCTGTCACCATAATGCTGTGGTAATGCTGTGGTTTGTCTCCCAGCTGGGAGCCAGGGGTGGTGGGGGTGCTGCAGTCCAGTGAGAATCAGCTGAGGCCTCTCTCCTCCCTGACCCCAAGGCCTGCCCTGCAGCCCCAAACCAAGACCACTCCAAACAAGGTACGGATGTGGGTGCTCTCGCTGAGTGTGCCCTTCAGCAAGAGGGAAGGAAGGGTAGCTGCTCCAGCCCCCTGCCGGTACACAAGGCTGGGGGAAAGGAGCACGTCCTACCAGCAGAGGAGACTCGAGGAGCAGAAGAAGGGGAGGAAGTGGGAAGAACAGATCATATATATTAAAAAAGTGACTTAAGACTTAAAATTGAATTAGTATTTGTACAGAAAGGTGCAGGTGGAATAACTCACTCCGGCCTAGGATCAAAATTATATGGAGAAATCATGGTGGACCCCTCCCCCTGCCCCCCAGTGGTGGCCCGAGTCGTTAAGTGCGATTGGTTAGAGTGGATTCCAGTCGGGTCGTTCAGGCGGAGGAGCTGGGGGCAGCGGCAGGCACGGGGGGGCTCAGTTGCTGCAGCACTGGCTCCGGCTGGCTGGGTTGTTCTCCTGGAGGTCCACACCTCGGTTCCGGCCTGGAGCACCAGGTGCATTCTGGGGCTCGTTCTTGGGAAGCTTCTTAGCTGTTTGGGACAGAGGGGAGAAATACACTTGTGGGGTTACTCCAATACTCTCTCCCAATTGTGCTAGAGCAGAATCTGGCCTTTACCAGTCCATCGGTGAGATTTATCAATAACACACTGGGTACTCTCTGTCAGGCGTACTCTGAGTGTTCCAGAAAGTTAAGTAACTTGTGAAGAGCACATGCAGTAAAGTAAGGATCTAAACCCAGGCAGGATGACTCTAGAGCCAAATAAGCTAAAAAAAAGAAGAATCCAACCAGTGACATGGTGGCATGGTGGTTATGTCACTGGTCTCCCACATGGTTGACTGAGGTTCAAGTCCCAGGCTTGAAGCTCACAGCGTGCCCAAAATCCCAAGAGGAGAATGAAGAGAAGGGATTGTGTGGTGTGGCCATCCCGCTGGGAGGTGATGATTTTGTGCTTTCTATCTTTCCATCTCTCTCTGTCTCTACAGTGAGCACATGCACCCTATAGCAAAAATCTCTCTTAAAAAAAAATTCTTAAGAAGTGGCAGGCCAGCAGGTGGCTTGAAGCTCACAGCGTGCCCAAAATCCCAAGAGGAGAATGAAGAGAAGGGATTGTGTGGTGTGGCCATCCCGCTGGGAGGTGATGATTTTGTGCTTTCTATCTTTCCATCTCTCTCTGTCTCTACAGTGAGCACATGCACCCTATAGCAAAAATCTCTCTTAAAAAAAAATTCTTAAGAAGTGGCAGGCCAGCAGGTGATGTGGTGGTTAAGGTAGCTGGATCTCACATGGCCAACAGCCAGCACAGTTTGAGTCCTGGACCTGGTGGCTTAAAAACATGCCAGTCACATGTTTATGCATGCCCCAAACCCAAGAGAAGAATGGAGGGGAAGGAACAGTGGCGTGGCTATCCTACCTGGGGGTGCCTTCTCACTCCCTGCCTATTCTCTCTGGTAAGCACGCACTGCCCTATAGCAAATTTAAGGGTAATGATAGTAATAAATTACAAAGTGGTGGGGAGAGTCTGGTAATGGCAGGCTGTGAAATGGGCAGCACGTTAAAGGGTGCGAGAGTGAAATACTGAGACTCTGACACAGGCTTTAGAAACTCCTGTGGTGATGAGGCCGGCAGGTGGTGTGGTGCTTAAAGGTGCTGGACTTCCACGTGGCCGACCACAGTTTGAGTCCCAGACCTGGTGGTTTGCTTTCTCACTTTTCTTCTCTTTCTTTCTCTCACACTCTGTCCCTCTCTGGTCAAATTAAAATAAACAAAAGAATTCTTTAGGGAAAAAAAAGAAACTCCTGTGGTGAACTTTCTATCTCTGGGAATTCAATGAAGAAAATTATTTTACTGGAATGTTAAAAACCTGAAGGAGGGGGTCTGGCAGGTGGCATGGTAGTTAAGGCCGCTGGACTCCCACATGGTCAACCCAGGTTCGAGTCCTGGACCCGGTGGCTTTCTTTCTCACTTTCTCTCTCACTCTGTCCCACTCTGCTCAAATTAAAATTAATTAGTTAGTTAATTAATTAATTAAAGTTCAATAAAATCATTCTTAAAAAAAATCTGAAGGAGGGACCAACAATGGCAAAGAGGTAAACACAATGTTCTACGAGGCAATCCTACACAGGAGGATTCTTGGTTCAAGCTTAGAGAATACACACAGCACACACTTGGCCCATGAGCCAGGGCTAACTGAAGGTGGATCCAGTGTCAAATCCCTGCCCAGCCTCTGTGACATAGTAATGGTTGGTAGTGTACTGGACTGTAGAGCTGGAAGTCACATGACTGACTATGGTTTGAATCCCTTGTCCAGCTGGTTTAAAAACATGCTGGGCATGTGCATGTTTTCTCAGGATCCTGGGGAGGTGGAGGGTTGGAGGAAGAGGACTACAGCATAGGACCAGCAGTTAGAGTAATGGCTATGTCGCTGAACTCCCACATAGCCAACTGCAGTTTGAGCACCAGACCCGGTGGCTTAAACTCACGCCAGGTGCATGTGTGTGTGTGTGCCCAAGATCCCAAGAGGAGGAGGAGGAGGAGGGATTGCGGCATGGCCATCCCCCCTAGGGGGTGATTTCTTACTTTCTATCTCTCCGTCTCTGTCTTTCTGGTGAGTGCATGTGCCCTATTACAAAAAACTCTCCAAAAAAACTCCCCCCCCCCAAAAAAAAGAGGACCACAGTATGACTAAGCCCTGTGGAAGGTGCCCTTCTCTCTTCCTCTTGTGTACACACACATACTCTATCATAAATTAAAAAAAATAAAAAAAGAATAACAACCCTTTTGAGGGAGCTATCTCTCTCTTTGTTGCTCATGGAAGAAATAAGTAATTTTTAAAGATATAAGATCTGTTGGTGAAGGGACCACACAGACCCACCTTAGAACAGCAATCAAGCAACAGGCCCTTGGTGGTGGAGGGAAGGGAGCAGAGGCAACTTACCTATTGCCATGAAAATTTCGTTCACATTCATTGCCGTCTTTGCTGATGTCTCCATGAACAGCAAACTGTTGTCGTCTGCATAGGCCTGTGCTTCCTGATTCGGATGGAGGTGAGAAAGAGGAAGGGATAGAAATGTTTGCAGGGGCCAGGGCCCAGGATAAAAATCTTTGATGTTCACAGTGTTTTATATACAACAGAGACCGCTGGACAATGCAGTGGGTTCTCAGGCCTAAGGCCTCCCTGCTCTGGGTTCCCTTAAGACATCTGCTCCACACCCTCAGTCAGCCCACTGGGATACAGCCTCTTTCAGCTCACAAACAGCACAAACCGCAGATGACTTAACTCAGGTTTCCCTAGGTCTCTCTGCCTCCTTCTGCTTCAAAATCACTAGGCTAGGAAATACTTCTAGGAAGTTTTTCTGCACATTCACCTGCACATTTCAACAAAAATTGGAAGTTTGTGGATGTTGACTGCAGTACTGTCTCCAGTCGTTTGTAATTACAAACAACCTAAAGTCCATCAGTTAGGGACTGATAACAAATAAATTATACAGTATAGAAAGGGATTCATATACATGTGCATTGTTCTGAAAAGGTGAGAAATCTGGGAACTTAGGGGGAGAGAGGCTGAGTTTTTCTGGGTAAGAAGGCAATTAAATTTCTGGGACTGTAGGTGGCGTGGTGGTTAAGGGCTCTGGACTCCCATATGGCCAGCCATGGTTTGAGTCCAGGACCTGGTGGCTTACTTTCTCACTTTCTCTCTCTCTTTCTCTCTGTTGCTCTGTCCCTCTCTGGTCAAATTAAAAATAAATAAATAGATAAATAAAGTTGAATAAAATAATTCTTTTAATTTTAATTTTATTTATTCATTCATGTTTAAGTTGACCAGAGACAGAGAGAGAACAAGAGGAAAGTGAGCAAGGAAGCCACCAGGTCCAGGACTTAAACCGTGGTTGGCCATGTGAGAGTGTCTAGCACCTTGACCACACCATGCCATCTGCTGGCCCCCAATAAAATAATTCTTTAAAAAAGAAGAAGATGCTTAAACTTCATTCTATACACTTTCTTACATTGTTTCAATTTTACTGTGTGCATGTATTTAAAAGGTATATATTGGGTCAACCCTGTCTGCAATGGTTAAGTGTATGCACTATTGACCTGGGTCTCATATGGCTGTTCACACATGGTTTGGATTCTAGCCTTGGTGGCCTAAAAAACATGCCAGGCACATATGTGTGCATGCCCAAAATCCTGACAGGATGGAGAAATGAACAAAAAAGGACTGTGTGGTATGACCATGTCCCACTGGGGGTACTTTCTCTCTCTGCAGGAGTACATGTGCCCTCTGGCAACATATATGTATGTGTGTACATATATATTTTCATATATATATATATAAAAATATATATAATTTATATATATTTACTATATAAAATATATGTGTGTACATATATATAATATATATAATATATAATATATTTGTGTATGTATGTGTCTATATGGATATATACACATAATATATAAATATTTCTTTCTGGATTAAGTTTAATTAAAAAGTCAGTTTATGAGTTTCACACACAGCCCCCACTGCCAAAGAGAAAGAACAAGAGAGAGGCAGGCAACAGTTCCTCCCAGGCTGGCGCATGGGTCCTGGGAGGGCGGCAGGTGAGAGCTCCCCTGCTGGCTCCTAGCGTGGCCCTTTGCAGAGGCCCGGAACAACCCGGGGAGGCTAACTGGAGCCAGCTTTCCCCCATCTCCCAGTTCTGCCCGTCTCCCCACCTGGAACTCCACAGCTCTCTTGCTGGCCAGATCCGCCTTGTTACCCGCAAGGGCGATGACGATGTTGGGGCTGGCCTGCCTCTGTAACTCCTTCACCCAGTTCTTGGCTCGTGCAAATGTATCCTGAGGAGACAGGGCCAGAATGTCAAAAAGGGAAGGCCCTCTGCCCACGGCTACTCACTAGAGAGGCTTGGGCTGGCACAGCCAAGGTAACTAAGATGTCATCACATACAGATTCTGGTGCGGTGTCCCCAGACAACAGGGGAAGTCTATCCACGCCCCTCCCCCCGACAAGAACAGAGGGTCCAGGCCTGAAATTGGGGCATTAATAACCCGATTCCTGGGAATTCTAAAGACAAAAGGCAGGGAGAGGAGAAAGAGAAAGTCTTTACTGTGTTGGTGATGTCATAGACCACGATGGCAGCCTGAGCCCCCCGGTAGTACATGGGGGCCAGGCTGTGATACCGCTCCTGTCCAGCTGTGTCCCAGATCTCGAACTTGACTGTTGTGTCGTCCAAGCAGACAGTCTGTGTGAGGAAGGCCGCTGCAAGAGAGAGAGGCGTCACAAGCAAGAACGAGTGAGTAACCACCCCTCCACGCATACAGATGCTTCCAGGCTCTGGCACTTAGAAGCCTGCCGCTGAGGTGTGCACAGAGAAGCCCCAGCCCAGCAGCCAAAGCGGGCCCAAGCGGGGCAGGTGGGGCTGGTACTTGGTGAACATGTCTGGGGGCTGCGCCTGCATAGGCTTTACAGACCCACCCAGTGAGGGCAGGTGTAGGGCCCACTCTCTGAAGAGGACCGCAGCATAGGCCAGGAGAGGTGAGGTCCAGCAAAGCCTGACTCCGGGCACGAAGGGTGAACCCCTCACTCCTCTTCTTGCTCCTTCTCTCATGCCTGAGAGCGAACGGCCCTGCTGGAGACATCTCTTGTCTCTCGGTTTGCTCCCGCCAAGGTGTCACTGACCTTCATTTTCCTGAGGACACTCTCACCCACTTGGCTAGCTGGGGAGTACGCACTGTTCCACTGCCTGCCTGAGGCTGGGTGACTGGCTTCCTGGGTGACCAGCTTCCCAGGCCCTCTGCCACCTTCAGGCACTTAGCTAGCCACCACCCCTGCTTTGACACGCACCCCTCCCTTAGGCCACCCTATGGCTTGGCCTTCAAGGAACAGTGACCTAACCTTAGACAGGAGACACAGGTGCTGTGCATATGCTTCAGAGGAGGCCCAGTGCCGGAACAGAAGGTGGGAGTCCCCTTTGCCATGCCCCTGGAGCCAGCAGAGGCCCCCACCAGCTCCATACAGAAGGCCGCTCTCCCGGTGTGCCCTCCCCCACCTCCCTGAGGGGCCCGGGCCACGCCTCACTTCCCCTCTGCAGCTCCTGACCCAGTGCTGAGGAGGCAGCAGGAAGACTGCTGACACGGCCTGTTCTGTTCCCAGCTGCCTAGAAACCTCCTACCAACCATGAGGGTAGAGAAGGGATGACTCAAGGCCAAGGTTGGCCCTCGCCTCTGGAGGTCTTTACTGGCCTCTGAGGCAGGAGGCGGAGTCCAGACCCTTACTCACATCCTAACTGCTGACCACTGAGGAATCAACGCCAGGCTCTGAGCTTCAGAAAGGGTAAAGGTCAGCAACACCAGCCTGTCACCCAGCTCCGACTCACCGGGCCCTTCCCCATTCTGGAAAGTAGGAGAGGACCCGGCACATATTCCACCCCTTACTGTAAGGAGGCCTGTCCGAGATTCAGAGCCGCCTCTCTCCCCCAGGGCGGGTCAAGGTCTCAGCCCAGTCCAAACGGGGAAGAGGCGGAAGCAGGACGGGAAGGCAGTTTGCGGTTCCCAGTTAACTCTCTCTAGCATTGCTCTTTGGGACTCCAGCACGGAGCCCAGCTGCTGGATTTGATTCTAGCGCCCAGATGAGGAAGAGGTGCTGCACCCTAGATGGATCTGTCTCTATGGCAGGCGGCATCCCCCCACACAAGGCCTGAGACCCACTCACCTCCAATTGTGCTCTCCTGGTACTCGTGGAATTGCCCCTTGACAAAGCGGAGGACGAGGCTGGACTTGCCCACGGCGGACTCCCCCAGCAGGACCAGCTTAAACTGACAGATCTTGTTCCCAGCAGCAGGTCCGTTGGGTCGTGCTGCACCTCCCCGAACCGCCATGGCCTGTCCCGCTGCAGTGGCACCAGTGAGTGTGGGGCAGGGGCCGGTGCTATGCAGAGGCACTTAGCGGGGAGGTGGGCCTCCAACTGCAAGGGGGAAATGAGAAGGACTGGGTCAGCTCAGACACTGCCACACCATGAGCCCCTCTGAAACCACAGGTCTTTCCCTCTGCCCTCCCTGAGGAGTTGGTTGACCGCTTCCCTCATCTCAACTCCCTGCCCCTACCCCTGTCTTTTGGAAGTGCAGGCCCTTTGTGAGGCTGGAGGAGACACTGATTTGTTCTACAACCATCTGGGGAATATGGAGGAAAGTGGTCCCCCACCTTCAGGCTCATGGTTCTGAGCAAACACACTGGCTTCTCTGTCCCCAATATGTACATTCCTCTACAGACACATGCAGGGGATGAGTGGACGTATACTAGCCTGGTGGTATTTATTATAGCTCCTTGGGCTATAATAAATAAACCAATCAATAAATAGAAAAGCCCAAGACACTAGGAATTGGGTCAACAAACAATGACCTTGCAGTCTGTAGCTAGGGCCACAGGCTGCCTCTGTGCAGAGCCAGGGAGGGTAGTGAGGCAGACGAGGGTACAGGGAGTCCCAGCAGAAAGCTCCTCAGATAAGATGCCTGGCCACCCCTGTGGGTTCTCAGGAACCAGCCCCAGCCAGTGCAAGGTGTTATCAGGTAGTCGTCGTCTCCTGCCACATTCAAAAGGACTGACGGCTTTCGCAGTCTGAGGCTGGATTTAGCGCTCTGCTCACCAGAATCAAAGCAATGTTCCACTCTCGTCCTGCGCCTCTCCCCAAGTCCTCTCATTTTGGAAGAGCCAGAAATGTCACAGTAAAAAACAAAACACACACCAAAGCCAGAGCTCTGCTGGCAAGCACAACAGCTGTCAACTTTCCCGTTTAAATAGAGACCTCAGTGTCATTCTCTATGGGCAGAGACAGGAGGTAGCTGGGGAAAGGGCACGGGGGAGGTGGGGAAGAGCAGAGGCAAACCTGGGACACTGAGACCTGCACCGAGCAGCTGGGGTCCCAACCTGACATCTCCCTCACTTGGTTCAAGATAGCTTTGAAGGTTTAAATCTCTCTCTTTCTTTTTTTTAAAAAATAAGTTCCAGAACTGCAAAGAAGGATGAGAAGCCTATCTCCAGAAGTCTTTAGACTTACAGTAAAAGAAACCAGCATATATACAGAACGTTTTACAAGTAAGAACTGTGAGCATGTATTAAGTACTTAAGGCTCTGCTCAGCGTCTGAACACAGGTTAGAATGAAAAGGTTTTAGACTGCCCTTTGCATCATGAAACCTCTACGGGAGGGTCTTCCAGAATGACCCCAAGAGCCCTGAGCAAGGAAATTGCAATCTCTTATAGTTAAGGGACAGAGGGGATATTTATGCCAGGCAAAATGAATCAAGCACAGGGCTTGATTCATTCAACGTCATATCATTTTCCACATTCAGGTTCTCCCAGTAACTCACTTAAAAAGTGAGCTTCAGGAAAAATGATTCACTAATCAGAAACAACAGTTTCCTTTCTGGACAGCACCAAAGGAAAAGAGATTTGAAAGAGAGTCCACCTCTTCCCCAGAAATACAAGGAAGGAAGCATAGGGGGGGGGTCTCAGTAAGTAACCAGAAATGCCATTTAAATACCTCAGGGTTTAAGACACCTACTCATCTCACCCTAGTCAACGGGAAGGCAAGGCCATGCTTTCTGCTTCTTCGACACGCCTTACCTCGCAACGCCCGCATATATATTAGCTTTACGAACGAAATGATTTTTAAAGACAGTTAACATTTACTAAGTAATTACAAAATGATTATCACCGTCAAGTGTTAAAACAGTCTCCCATTTTTCAAATAATAACTGGACACTTGGGTACTCAATGCCCAACTCAGGACCACCTAATGTATAGGTGACGGCCTGGATGCAAACTCCGTAACTGCGTGTTATTTTCCTTGCTGCGGAGGAACAACAGCGGCGACGCCCACCCTCCGTGTTTGGGTTGGGTTTGGTTGGGTTGGGTTTGGTTGCTGGGTGAATGAGACTCTTTCTGGGACAGCAGCTTTCTGGCTTGGCAAGGTCTGGCACCAGGGACAGATGCTGGGATCTTGCAGTCCCTGAGTACTCCCAACAGTGGGGGAGCCGCCCAGGGCCAGGCAGGGCAACGACGACACAGGGAAAGCCACAACGGAATTATGAGCTGGTTATTAACATGAATCCGCGTGACACATAATCTTGGCTGGGCACCAGAGTATGGCTGAAGCACTAGAGGAAGAAGTGTGAATGAGTGGGGAGAGGAGAACAGAAAATGAAGTCCCTGATTCCAAACAGCCAATGCGCTAGGTGAGGGTTTAACCAGCACCCACAAACTGAGTGCGGGTAAATCATGCCACCAGCTAACCTGAGCCTCTGAGGCAGGAAAACCATGGCTCCGCTGGCTGTCTCTTAGTGATTACACCTTTGCCTCTGACTGACCCTAATGAAGCTCTCTTCCTGTGTCCCATGGTTTGCTCTCTTTAAGCTAACAAGTCCTTTCTGCCTTCTCTGGTCTAACTCTTTAGTGTTAAATATTGAGGAATGTCTTGTCTCTACAAAACGGGTTTCCAAATCTGCCCAGACAGAATGTGATTTTAAATTTTTATGATTACTTTCTTATTCGTGACAGAGCACACATGAACACAAGGGGTGGAGGGAA